TTTTTTTTTTTGGCGGAACTCAGGCCCTTACGCTTGCCAGGGAAGTGCTTATTCCACTGAGCCATCTTCCCGGCCCCTTATAAAGCGATTTCTTAAAAGTAACTTGTACCTGTGGCTTTTTTCCCCCATGGGTTAACAGCTTCTTAATAATCAATTCTCTACGTTTTGCCAGTTGTGGTGATGCACCTGACAATAATCCTGGAACTGGGGTGGTGCTGGATTAACTGCAGCACTGGGGAATCTGAGGCAGGGGGATGGCTGTGAGTCTGAGGCCAGCATGGGTTACACAATGAGTTAAAGACCAGCCTGAACTAAATAATGAGACCGTCTCAACCACACCCCTCATCAATTTTCTAAATCTCCACATGGAAATTTTTTAAGTACCCCACTGCTGGTGTACATATATACTTAAAACTGCTGTACCACAAATTAGTTGTACTACAATTCTATTTACCTTTTTTTCAAATTTCTTTGGTACAGTCTTGCTATACAGCTCTGACTCAAAGCAATCCTCCTGTCTCAGCCACCCCAGCACTGGGATTACAGGTGTGCACTACCACCCTATGTCTTGGTGACTGGCCCGGCATGTCTGGAGTGTGGCTGGCAAGGCATGTGGTACTGGTGATTGAACCCTGATCGCTGTGCTTGCCAGGCAGGAGCTTAAATCACCACGCTATCTCCCCAGCCTCTATGTATTTTTAAAGACCATCACTATGCTTTTTTTTTAAGGGAAGGGTCTATAGGGTTTTCAGGGTCTCACTCCTAGATTGGACTTGTGGGATCCACCTGTTTACAGTCTCCCAAGAGCTGGGATTACAGGCATGAGCCACCATGCCCAGTCTCAAAAGCTTTAAAACTATTGAGGATCAGTTTCTTTTTTTCTTTTTTTTGGTGGTACTAGGGATCAAACTCAGAACCTTGTGCTTGCCAGGGAAGCACTTATTCTACTGAGCTATCTCCCCAGCCTCCCACACTATGCAGTTTAAGCAACTTCTAAACTTACTGTGTAGCGTGGGCTGGCATCTTAACTCGCAGCAATCCTCCTGCCTCAGCAGCCCAAGTGCTGGGATTATAGGCATGTACCATCATACCTGGCTATTGTATTATAATTTTTTAGCCCGGCATGGTGGCACAAGCCTGTAATCCCAGCACTCAGGAAGCTGAGGTAGGAGGATTGCTGAGTTCAAGGTCAACCTAAGTTACATAGCAAAATAGTCTCAAAAAGGAATACAATTTTTTAAATATGATCTTAATGTTCTCCTTGAGGAACTGTAATATGACATCTGGTCTGCTAAATCAATGCCTTTCTTTGCTCTCTTATAATCAAAGGCCCCCTGAGAAGCTTTTCCACTGGGAAAGTCACGTATGTATCACTGGTGGTCCAAGCAGCCCAATGTGACAGTCAATTCAAATCAGAGCTGCCTGGCATCAAGATACTGTATAAGAATTACAGCTCTGTCAAGAACATGTTAAAAATAGAGACCCTATCTCTAAATACAAACAAAACACATAAATGATCAAAAT